ACTCTTGAAGCCTGATGCCTTCTCAACCATCGCTGCATCCCTCAGGATGGCAAGGGTGTTCCAAGGAAGCCTGAAACAACCCATTACTTTTATTACTGGTGTGCTGAGCTTGCCAGGCCTCTGAGGCACCCCAGATATGCAGCACGTAGGGTGTCCCGGCACTCTGCACCCCGAGCCAGTCTGCAGAGCGGCTGTCAGAGCCCTGTCCTGCTGTGGCCACCTCACTGGGCTCTAAGAACCACAGCACTGCACACATGTCCAAGCCAGGTCCCGTCTCACCCACCTCCCACCAGCACCAAAGCAAAGCGCTGTCGGTACCACGCCGTGTGCCTCAGCTTACCCGGTTCACGCCATGGTGAGCACACATGCACTTTCAGCGTGTGGAAACACAGCTCCCCTCTCCAGTGTTGCTTTTTCCTGTGGGCTGTAGTGTTTGTATCTGACCCTGCTCCTCCTTCCCGGCACGGGACTTGTGCGGGATGGAAGGAAGTGGTAAGGGGTCCAGTGGCGGAGAGAAGCTGGCTCCTTTGGTGCCCATCCTGCAAGCATGACCACCCTGCATCCTCTCCCCGGTGGGGCTGGGAGTTGTACTGTGTGTGGAGAACTCAGCAGAGCCCAGCCTGGCCCCTCTCCAGGGGCTTGGGGGGGCTGATGCTGGAGTATGGGGGGAACTGGAGGGACATGTGGCTTGTGGGGGGGCAGATCAGGGTGGAGGCTGGGTGGAGCTGAGAAGGGAAATTGCCTCTGGGGGATGGAGAGGGGAAGGATGGGGAAGGGATGGGGGGGCTGTAGGGGCCATAGTTTACCGGGGGAGGAGGGGGGGTGTGTGTAAAGGAAGGTGGCCCAGCGGACAGATTGAATTCAGGGGGCTGGGGACAAGCGTATTTTGGGTGGTGCCGCCGCACAGCGCAGCTGTCGGGAGCCCACCGAGGGAAGGGGCCACAGGGGTCTGAGGGGACACCACGACCCGCGGAGGGGAGGGGAGGGGAGTGGGGCGGCGGCGGCGGGGCGAGGCGGGCCCGGGCCGGGGCGGGCGGGCTGCGGCGGGGCCGCCCCGCGCTGAGGCGGAGCCGGCGGCCGGCGGGGAGCGCGGCGGGGCGCGGAGCGGCCCCGCGGGATGGGGGGTGCGTGGGCAGGTGAGGCCGGGCAGGGCACCCCGCGGAGGGAGTGGGAGCAGCCTTGGGATGGGGGGGGGGGGGGGCCGGGGGTGTCGCTCGCTGCCCGCCGGCTCCCGGCCGGAGCAGCGGGACGTCGGGGGGGAGACAGCCCCGGGGTGGCGGGGGGCCGGCAGCGCTGGGAGGGGGCTGCGGGGACCTGGATGGTTTGCCTAAGCGTGGGGAGAAGCGGGGTTCCCCTCCTTACGCCCGCTGTGACAGGCTGGAGCAATGGGAGAGCGGGTCCCACCGCGGGGAGGGGGGGCTGTCACACGTCCCCTCTGCTCTCCCCGCAGGCGCTGGGCTGGGGACCGTGTCCCTGTGGGGCAGCCTCCTGCTCGCTGCCGGCTTCGCCCTCGACCCAGCACCGCAAAGCTGCAACTGCACGGAGCACATGGACTTCCAGGTTTTCCGGGAGACTCCGCTCCCCGAGAGCTGCTGCCTCAACTTCACCAGTTCCAACATCACCCGCTTGGACTGGGGTGCACTGGTAGGGGTGCGGGGGCTGCGGGAGCTCTACCTCTCGTACTGCAGCATCACAGAGATCAGCAACGCGCAGGGAGACCCGCCTGCCTTGGAGGTCTTGCACTTAAGTCACAACCTGTTGGAAAGTCTCCCTGAAAGCTTTCTGGAAGATGCTCCTAATTTGAGGGTCCTTTATCTGGACAGCAACCAGCTCCAGGAGCTGCCCAGGTCCTTCCTGAAAGCATCGACCAACGTCCAGGAAGTCTACCTGGGCTTCAATGCCCTGACCCTCCTTCCTGCCAGCCTCCTGAAGCCGTCTCTGCTCCAGCTCCAGCTCTCCAACAACAGTTGGGACTGCAGCTGCGCTTTGCTCAGCAACCTGGAGGCTTGGCCCAGCCTGGCTGCTGAGGTTATCTGCCACACGCCGGAGCGGTACCACGGCGTGGAGCTCCAGAGCATCCCCCGGGATGAGCTGTGCCGCTCGCACAGCCTCACCGCCCTCTTCATCTGCCTGCCCCCTCTCCTCATCCTCGCCAGCGTCACCTGGTGCTTCTGCAGGCGGAAGAGAAAGACCAACTACAGCTTTCAGAGCAGCTCCCAGAGCCACCCAGCCATGTCAGAGAGGGGCAATGCGCCGGTGCCTGCAGAGCCCCACCACTATGAGCTGCCTGCTGCCCCCTCCAAGACCGAGAAGAAGGTGCTGCTGGGGAGTCAAGTCCTGCTCCAGCCCTCCACAGACCTGCTGGAGAGCGGCAGAGACCTCTACGAGGAGGTAGAGATCCAGGTGAGATCTCCCAGCAGTTCCCAGGTGTCAACCCACGAAGGGCAGCGGGACACCCCAGCACTGAGGGTAGAGGAGCTGGGGGGCAGTGAACCAGAGATGGACACTGTCAGCGTGAGCGAAGTGCTGAAGGACTCTGCTGATCGGGAGAAGATCTACATGAGCCAGTCAACCAACTATTACAACCTGGTACCTGGCATCGAGCTGGAGGACTCGGAAAACCTGGAGTATGAGAACATCGACCTGCACTGATACCAGCACGGGGGCTGTGTCTGGGACACACCAGGGGGATGGCAGAGCAGAGGCATGAGCTGTCCTGCCAGGACTTACAGTGGCTGTTTGCAAGGCTGCACCCCCAAATTCCCATCCCTTCCCCTGTGCACCCCTCGCTTGCCATGTGCTGCAGTTGGGCAGGGGGTGAGAGAGTGCTTCGGGCACTGGGAATCCTTCTGCAGGCTGACAGTGTTTGGGGACACGTGAACTGGCAGTGCCTGAGGAAGGACATGGAGGGGAGGTGGGGGCTGGTTTTGGGGACCAGGTGACAATACTGTGTGTGCCAGGTCCATTGATCAGTGCCTCCATCTTCTCTCACTGGAGCCAGATGGCCTGGACCTGCTGCTCCCCAGCCCGCAGAGAACGGGGTCTGTGGAGATGAAATGGGGCTGGCTCTGCCTATGTGCTCTGTGGGGGGTGTCACATGCCAGGGGGTGCCTTGGACTTGGCCGGGGGAGCCTGGGGTGGACCTGCCTGCTTCCCACCCCACATCCCACCATGCCCCACAGCGTGACACGGGGGCTTAAAACAGCCGGTGCATGCATGCTGCTGCATGCACAAGTGTGTATGTGCAGGGGCTGTGCACGGGTGGGCATGAGTGGGTGTGCAAGATGCACGCGCGCACACACCCCACACCCCCCCCCACACACACACACCCCAAGCCCTGTAGGATTCAGCTCTCAGTAAGAAATAAATCATTTTACTCCTGTCAATGTGACTTCATCCCTGTGTCTGTGTGGGGTGGGGAGCTGACTGATGGGACATGGGAGAGTGCGGGGATGGGGGATTTGCTCCTGCCCCATCTCCCCTCCCATGTCTTGGGTGATGCCCCGGTGTGGGGCTCAACCAGCAGCCCTGGAGCTGCTTTGCCAGCCCAGAGGAGCAGAGCTGGGCACTGGTTTTGGGCAAGCAGAGCCTCTGCCTTGCACCGTGATTTACAGCCCAGCTAAGGAAGGTGGCAGCCTGCTATAAATGCCAAGGTTCCCACCCGGGGCAGGGACTTGCAGGGCTCCTGGGAATGGGGCAAAGGCTGGGGGTGCTGTAAATCACCCCCCTGCACAGACACAACTCCGGTGAGTCTCACCCCATGGGTGCTCCAGCCCTTCTCTGGGGTTGGAGGGGATGCAGGCGCCCTTGAGCCCCGTCCCCCCCCAGCCCAGGGGGACATTTCCCAGGCTGGAAGTCCCAGTGGCCGCCCCGCTCTGCACTGGAGCCGTGCGGGGCCTGGGCCAGGCGCTGTGCCCGAGCAGGAAGGGAGGGAGCCGGGCAGGGCAGGACACGGCGCTCTGACCAGCAAAGGAAGCGGCGTTTCCTGCGGAGCACGGCATGGCCTCCGGCGCCCACGGCGGGACCAGCCATGGGCCCCGGCAATGCTCAGTCCCAGCGTGGGTCAGAGAGGAGGACGGGATGGTTTCCCTGCATGTCTTGCTGTCACTCACGGATGTTTCCCACTGTTTTATGTCCTGCTGGAATTTTTCCCTTCCCGCTCCCTCCCTGGCCCTGGGAAAGTGGCCTGATGGCAGCCTTTAATGTGCTTCCACCCCCTCCCCTGCCAGGTAGTGCAGCCAGGGGACATGCAGGGGATCCGAGCGTGCCCCAGCTCATGCTATCCCCAAGTCCATCCCGGGGACACGGAGGGACCAGGAGCTGCCACAGTGTTGAGGCAGGACAGGCAGGCTCAGCCAGCCGTCCCAGGCACTGCGAGGCAGTGAGGACTTGGGCAGCAACAAGTGTGTTTTTCACCCATGCTCCAGAAATATCCCACAGCCCTCCCTGGGTGCTGGCTCTTCCTGAGCACCCCAGGGTCCCATTCCCAGGGCTGTCGAGAGAGATTAAACCTTCTGTCCTTTCCCTTCCTTCTCATGGAGCCTAAATTCAGCTGCTGTGGCTGCGAAGAGGAACAGCCCAAGCTGCTCTGCTGGGTCCTGCCCAGCCCCAGCTCCAGGACCCAAAGTCCCCACTGAAATCTCTGGCCATGGTCGGTGGCAGGGAGGTGTGACTGACCTGGAGTTCCCTGTTGCTTGCCTCTGACAGCCCCAATCCATCACGGGGAGGGCTCAGCCGTGTGGACCCACGTTGGGGTATTTAGGTGGAAGAGGCACCGGCGGGACAGGAGGGTGCAGGCAGGGAGCGGGCAGCGGCTGCAGCAGGCGTGGGAAGGGCAGGGCGGCTGCGTGGGCAATCCTGCTGATGGGACAAAGCGCTTGGTGTGGAGGTGATTGCGTGTCCCCAGGCCCTCCAGCCTGGACAACAGTGGGACCCCCAGTTCTCCCCAGTTTAGCCAGCAAGATAAGGATTTTTCTGCCGAGGCACGGAGCTGAGCTACAATGACTGTCTCTTACACGCTGAAAGTTGCCAACTCCCGTTTTGGGGGTTTCTCCAAGCTGCTCTTCCGCTGGAAAGGCAGCATCTACAAGCTGCTGTACAAGGAGTTCATCGTCTTCGTGGTGCTGTATGCCCTGCTCAGCCTCGTTTACCGGTGAGTGGGGCTGGTGTGTCTCTGCCGGTTGTGTCTCTCCCTGATGACCCACTGGGATGCGCAGAGATGCCCCACTGGTCGTGGACTGGGGTCCCTGCAGGGAGGGGAGAAGCCCAGGGGACTCCCCCAGGGAGGATGGGAATGGGCAGGCAATGGCTTTTTGTGGAGTTTTGAGGTGGCATCCCAGCCCCACCGCTCACACCTGACCCCGCTGTGTGTCTCCAACCCCACTGCGTGTTCATTGCAGGCGGCTGCTGACTGAGGAGCAGAAGCGTCTCTACACCAAAGTGGCTCAATACTGCAACCGGTCCACGGACCTCATCCCCATGTCGTTTGTCCTAGGTATGGGTCCCTCTCTGGAACCCAGGAGTTGGGGCCCCCTGCTCCCCCCAGAACCAATGGCTTGAGGATGCCCCCACTGCCCGTCCTGACCCCACGGCAAAACTTCCCTTGGGCACCATTGGATGGGGGATGGAGGAGCCTGGCACCCCAGGGATGGCACTTGGCTCCCAGACCCACCGAGCACAGCTCCCTGCCCCTTGGGATGCCAGTGGGAGGCTGTGATTTCTCCTCCCCACTCTGCACCCTTTTCCCCATGCCCGGGAAAGGGGCACATTGACTAGAAGAGATGGCTGTCCTGCCCCATGCCACCTGTGCCCAAGACAGGGAAGAGCTGGGAGGGGACATCCCCACCTCCATCTCTGGGGAGGACAGCCCGATGGGAAGCACAACATGCACTTTATCTCCTGGCCACAGAGAAATCTGTCACCCCTCAAAACCTGGCAGCTCTCCTGGAGTGGGCTTGTCCTTGCCTTGACCCACCGCCCGGCAGCTCCGAGCCCGCTACGCTCTGTCTCTTTTTGCAGGTTTTTATGTTACCCTGATTGTGAACCGGTGGTGGGCCCAGTACACCAGCATCCCCCTGCCTGACCAGCTCATGTGCGTCATCTCCAGCAACGTCCACGGCAAGGACGAGCGGGGCCGGGTCCTGCGGCGCACCCTCATCCGCTATGCCAACCTGTCTTCGGTTCTCATCCTGCGCTCCGTCAGCACCAGGGTGCTCAAGCGCTTCCCCACCATGGACCATGTGGTGGAAGCCGGTGAGAAGCTAAGCTCTGGGGGGTGATGGCTGGCAATGTGGGGTGAGAGTTGGTGGCCACAGATGTGTCCCTGTCACCGGGAGGGTGTGCAGGGGGTCGGGGATCCTTGCAAGCATCCCTGCCCCAAACTGCCCCGCACGCAGCGTGGCATCCTTGCGTGGATGTTCGCCCCCAAAGAGCCCCATGTCCCCTCTGCCCAAAGCCAGTCTCCGTGGGCTGTAGTTTCACCTGGAAAACCCTGTGTTCCCACCGGGGACGGTCCCCAAAAGATCTCTCCCGCCCTGACACAGGGGCCATGGTGCTGAGCCTCTGTCCCACTGCAGGCTTCATGACACAGGATGAGTGCAAGAAGTTCGAGAGCCTCCACTCTGACTTCAACAAGTACTGGATCCCCTGCGTGTGGTTCACCAACCTGGCAGCCCAGGCCAGGCGGGATGGCCGCATCCGCGACGACGTGGCCCTCCGCCTGCTCATGGACGTGAGTCGGCGCCGGGTGCGTGGTGGGGGGGGGACACACACACCAAGCGCCGCAGGGGGGGCTCATGCAAAGCCCCTGTCATCCATCCTTGTCCTTTCTGCCCAGGAGCTGAATCTCTACCGGGCCAAGTGCAGCATGTTGTTCCATTACGACTGGATCAGCATCCCCCTGGTGTACACGCAGGTGGGTACCCCCGCACCCCACAGGCCCAGATCCCAGCTCCTTCCACCCCACAACGGCAGAGGAGCCCTACAGCCTCCTCCCTCCACTCTGATGGAGAATGCTTTACTCCCCCATTGAATCCAGTGCCGGATCCGGCACGGCCGCTGGTTCACAGCCCTGCGGGGGTGTGCAGGAGCTCGGGCAGTGGGGTTTAGCCTCAAGCCCATGAGAGCATCAATGACCCGCCGAGGCTCTGGCATCCTCGCTACCCCTGTGCCGAGCATCCCCCTCGGCTGCCACCCTCGCCGCTGGCTGACCTGTGCTCCTGGCAGGTGGTCACCATCGCCGTCTACTCCTTCTTTGCCTTCTGCCTTGTCGGGCGGCAGTTCCTGGAGCCGCTGGAGCTGGGGCAGGAGGGGGACCTGGACATGTACATCCCCCTCTCCACCCTCCTCCAGTTCTTCTTCTACGCCGGCTGGCTGAAGGTGAGACACAGCCAGGCAGCTGGGCTTCGCTTTACAGGCTGGGGGTGGCCCTGAGCACCCCCGTGGGGCAAGAAGGGGCTGGCCCAGGGCATGGCACCAGCCATGTCACTGCTAGATGCACCTAGGGACATGTCCTCTGGGCCCAGCCATCACACTGGGGCACCATGGAGCTCCAAATCTGCACATTTCCTGTGCTCCATGAGCGGACTAAGGGGTGGAGAGCCCCATGGGAAGGTGTCCCTGTCCCTGCTCCCCTGTCTCACCTGTCCCCCTCCCTCCCCAGGTTGCAGAACAGATCATTAACCCCTTTGGAGAAGATGATGACGACTTTGAGACCAATAAGCTAATAGACAGGAACCTGCAGGTGGGTCCTGCTCCAGGCTCACGTTGTGTGGGGCTGTTGCAGTCAGGGCACAAGGACATCCCTGCCACCTGTTCCCCCAGCCCTGCTCCTGGCCATGCAGGTCCTTGTCCAAAATAGATTCCCACACAAGGAAGGAGGGCTGCACCTTGTCCCTCCATATGTCTGTTCCCCACAGCAGGGTCAGCACTCCAAGGCACACGCAGCAGCCTGGCACCACTGCTCAGCCCCTCACCTCCGAGAGAAGTGTTCAAAAGCAGACAATCCCAAATGCAGCCAGGAGATGGGCCCAGCCCTACCCTTGCTAGACTGGTGCTGGGAGCAGCATCTACAGCCACTGGTCCCACTCATGTCCTCGCAAAGCCACCCCTGTCCCCTGCCTTTGCCTTGCTCAGGTGTCCCTGCTCTCCGTGGATGACATGTACCAGAACCTGCCCCCCGTCGTGAAGGACAAATACTGGAATGAGTCCACAGCTCAGCCCCCCTACACCATGGCCACAGCCGCAGAGACCTTGAAGCCCTCGTTCCTGGGTTCCACCTTCGACATGCAGTGAGTGCACGGCACAGCCCTGGGACTGGAGAAAAAAAGGGCAAGTGCTTTGGGGTAGTAATAGCACTAGCAGGCTTGTTCCCCCTGCCCCCCCCCCTCGGGCCCAATTACAGTGAGCAAACAGCAAATCCCCCCGGGAGTGCATTGCCCAGCCCCTGTGGGTCTTGGGGACTGCGCTGGGTGATGGATGAGCTGCTGGTGCAGGGATGTGGCTCCCCAGAGCTGCTCCCGGCTTGCAAATGCATTGGGATGGAGGCGGTGAGTGGTGCTGGGCATCCCTGCGGAGGACGGCAGCCTGTCCCCATCACCCCACCGTGCTCCCCCAGCATGTGCGAGGACACGGAGCAGAGCCAGCCGGCGGAAGCCTCGCCGAGCGTACCGCGCATCCAGACGCCTCTGCTCAGCCGCTTCTTCACCGCCGCATCCCCCGCCATCAGCATCAAAAACTTCAGCCGGGGTAGCCGAGGTCACCCCCGCCTGCGGCGCTCCCGGGCGGACGGTGGCTTCCCTTCCCCTTACCCCAACCGCCCCGAGGACCCCGAGTCGGTGGCCTGCATCGAGGAGGAGATGGAGGATGAGGAGAGCCGGGCCAGCGAGCCCACCGCGCCTGGCAGTCGCCCAGGGGGGACCCGGCCACAGGAGGCCTCCAAAACACAGAGGAAGGAGCTGCCGCTGATCCAGGTGAAGGCACCGTCCAGCGACAGCATTGGGGCTGACCAGCTGGAAGCCCGGGAGCCCTGAACCTGCCCCAAAAGCACCCCTTTCCCCAAGGCACCCTCAGCACCAGCCACGAAGCTCCCTGTCCCTGGACATCCTTCTCAGACCCCCTGTCCAGAAGCAGGACATTGGCAGGTCTCTTGCCACCCAGTCCTGAGCCAAGATGTGTCCCTAGGGTGACGGGAAGATCCTGGTGGGTTGGAGATTGGGCAGACAGCCTTCATCAGTAGCTGTTAGCCCCCAACCTGCGGGGTTCAGCCCATCTGTGTGATGGTGCCACTGACTTGCAGCTGGCCAGGCTCACTCCCTGCTCCCATGGCCCAGCACAGGGGACAAGGGACAGCCCAGACCCCAAGCCAGGGATGGGACAAGGGCATTAGTCTTGCAGAAAACCAACACTGTGATGGAGATGTCACCTCAATATTAATAAAGCTATTGCCAACCTCAGCTGTGAGGTTCTTCCCTGTCCATGCAAATCATCCCCAGCAGTGAGACAGCGGGGACACCACACTTATCCAAAAAGTGGGCGAGTTTGGATTTTGTCAAGAAGCATACGTGTTCTCCTGGGGCAAAAAGGGCACAACCCCAAGGACTGTCAACATTGATGGTCATGGGGTATTAGTGTTACCACCAGAAAAAAAACCAAAAAACATAAGTATGCTTTCAGCCCCTGTAGAAGGATTCCTGCACTCAAGACACATTTCCTCTGTTAAAAAATTTCCTTTCCTGCAAGCCCCACTTTCCCAAAGCCACTTTTCCTTTAAAGCTCCCATCTCCTCAACACAAGCCAGCCCCACTCCTCCTCCACTACCCTCCGGGCCACAGCTGGACCTGTTAAAGCATAACCAGAGGGTCATTTTCTGGGTTGGACCACATCCCAGGAAAACACACCAGAGTTAATACCGCATGGAGCTGAGAGAACCACTCAACAGCAAGGAGCAGCACTCAGGATGACAAGTGACCTCACTTGGGTTACGCTGCTGGCAGCTCATTGTACGAAAAGTAGCTTTTTGAAAATTCAGTCCATGCACCTACCTGCAGGAGTGGGTGAGGTCTTTAGACCAGGCTTTAGCACTTCATAAGCCTAGCCACGCTAAAGCTGTGCTTAACTCCAGCCCCTGCCCTTGTCTTTCTGGCTTAGCACACGGCAGGCTCGCCTCCCCCCAGGCAGGTAAATCCCTGTGCACATCCACGGGGCTGTGCCAAGGCCAGACCAGAAACCACACGCCCCGTGGCCAAGCCGCACGAGGTCCCGCAGCCCACGCCACCGTGGGAGCCAGGGGCCACACGCCCCTGGCCAGCTGCCACCGTCCCGTTCCCATGTCACACAACAGCACGGCTCCGGTGTGCGAGAGGTGCCGCCTTCGTTCCCACGGGCTGTTGCCCTTGGCAGCTGCGTTTTTCAGAGCCAGTTTTGTAAGCAGCCTACGTTGACAAATTGGCCATAATCCTGCTCATCAGGGGCCGGGTTTACAGCTCCTGCTCTGACACCAGGCCGGCACTTGCTCTGCAAGCCTGAGTTTCTCCATCTGTACAAAGTCTCCCAGAAACACCCTGAATGCTGTTTGTATTCTGCAGAGGGTGAGGGAAGAAACAAGAGGAAGCAGCAGTGACACATGCCTCCCGAGTGCCCTTTATTGCCTCCACCCCACCTCTCTGGAAAGCAGGCGTTGCTGGAGAGCAGGGAAAGATTACCCCAGATCACTGTGGAGAAGGAATGTGCTTGTGCAAACGTCCTGCCCAGCCCCAGTTCCCACTGCCAGGGACTCCAGCTCGGCCAGTTGCACCCCGCTGGGCACGGCTCTGCCGGGAGCACCCACGCGCACCCACCACGGCACAACCGTGCTGCAGCGGCCACCCGGGGAACAGGTACCCCGTCCTGATGTGGTCCGTGTGTCCCTCCACCTGGGGCACAGACCCAGCTTCAGCTGCCAGCAAGGCAGGATGAACCCACGCTGCCCAGGGCACCCGTGCCCACTAGCACCTCCTGCTGCCAGAGACGGCAGCCGGGACAGAGCATCACAGGAAAACTTTTAACGAAAATACCAAGCTCAAGCTGCCTGTGGGGCAGGCAGTCTGTGTTTTAGGGCAGTAGAGACATGAGTCTTACCCCAAGCACACCTGTGGCAGGATGATCACAGATCTCCTTTCAGTTCAGAGCTAAAAATTGTGAAGCTGTGGCTGTGGGTAGCCTGCCTTGCAGCAGAGTGCTCCTACGGACAAAGGTGCTTGGCACAAAAACAGAAGTGGGGTGAAGCCTGCAGCGTGTCCATGTGGCAGGCGTTGGGATGTTAAGTCTGGTCTGCCCCCACAGCCCTAGGACCAACCCTCAGATGGGCTCCCAACTTCACCCCAACACTTCCACAAAGCATTTGGCAACTAGGTGCAGAGATCCACCACGCTGGCTTTCTTTAAAGACAGCAACCCCAAGGAATGACATCACATACCCCACAACACCCAGAAACGCTCAGTTCACCACAGCTTTCCAATCTCACCACAAGCAAGAGGGCAGAAAGCTGGAGTTTGTACCCAGCTTTCGAAAGGGACAGACCACAATGAGAGCCTGGCCCTTCTGCTAGAAGGAATTTATCTTGCACTGGAATGAGACCAAGGAGGTCAGGGAAAGACCAGCTGGTCACTGAGCAGTGCAGCCAAGTTTGGTTAAAAAAAGATCCGGGACCCTGAAGGGAATTGTACAGCCAGGCAGGAAACACCAAACAACTGCAAAAGGGGCTGCTGGCCCGAACCAGGGGACATGAACATGGCAGGCTGAGGCAAGAGGTACCAGCTGCAGAGGCCGTTAAGTTTCCAGCCAAACTTGGCACAAATGCAGAGCTGCTCCCTGGGCAGCTCTGCTCCCTGGGCAGCCCTCGCCTGCAGCAGCAGGGCTCCTTTCCTCACTCTCACCCCAAAAGCAGCATGTGCTGACCTAACACCCCACAGGACAAGGGCGATGCGTGCCCAGTCAGACCCGGCAGCGCTCAGAAAGCCAGGCCTCTTAACGGGGGCGGACATTTGCACCCTCCTCCTGCACGCAGGTTTCCAGTACTGGAAGTTCTCCACTTCAGCCAAGTCTGACAACTCTTTTCCACACCCACTTGGCCCATTAAGTCACTGTCCTAGAACCCACGGAGACGTTTTAGTTGAGACCGTGCAGGGTCAGAGCTTGCCTGAAGACACAAAAGCACTCAGGGATTCCAGGAGATCCTTCTTCCTTCACACTTTGCAGGCAGGAGGAGCTACACAAGCACCCTCCACTCTGCACCCACAAATGAGCACACAACCCATTTACTGTGGTAGACTTTTGGTTTTATTCGTTCTCTCGGTAGAATAGTTTTCATTCATTTGCCTTTTCTGGCCTTGATCTTCCTCAAGTAGAACTCTAATTCCTTGCCTTCCAACACGTAGCCGTCTGCTCGGCCACACTGTCCGGGTCTGGAGGCAATGCAGGCTGCAAGGAGAAGTCATCCAGTTAAAGTTTAGTAATTTGCTACCCCAGTATATACACCAACTGGAAGAAACACTGCATGCAGTCTCTCTGCAGAAGCACAGACGAGCAAGTTACCAGTAGCAGATACACCAGTTTACGTGCTGGCTTCAGTACCTCCCCCTAAGGTATCTTGCTCCTGAACCTGCTCTGCTGGACTGTGTCCCTAATGAAGTCCTCTTCAGATCTCCAAACTGTCATCCCTCAAGTTCAGTAGCAGAACTGGACAAAGGTCTCATCACCAGAAGACTTCAGAACACTGAACTATTTGCCAGAACTTGAAACTGGTCAAAGCTGTTACATGTTCACAGGACATTTTTCTGACACACAGTGCAGCCCATGGGTCTTTGCTCATCTTCCAAGTCTTGAGCCCCATTATTTTTCTCAATGGCCAACCAGGAATAATCAACTCCAGGAGCCTGGCTGGGACATGCAGCAATTAAAGCTCCAGAAAGATATTTCCCCTTCCCGCCACAAGTGGGGTAGCTCCAGAGAAAATACAAGAACAAATTACATTTAAGACCCAGAAGATACTCCTGCAGATAGAGAACACCCCATTGGTTTCACCCTGCAGTTAGCTTTACCACAGTGAGTAGAACTTTAAACGATCCCAACACCAAGAATAAGTTCTGCTCTGGCACCATGTTTTGTCAGGACTCCCTTATCCCCACCCACGCCAACGCTGCGAGGGACTCACCAAGTAGTTTTCCTTGCTGGAACTGTTCCTCAAGAATACTTGCTATTTTGGCATTCTTCTTTCGCTCATCATATTTTTTCTGGATCTTCTTTGAACGCTTCTTGTTCAAGATTTCCTCCTCTTCAGGAGTCTAAAAACAAGACCATAAGCAAAGACAAGGTTAAGCATATGCCCACCTTCTGCTACAGCAGGTGGTCCCCACTAATATGAAGGAGACTCCTGTATTCCCAGCACTGCACTGTGTTTTGCAAGTTATGCTTTCCAGAGATATAAATACTTCAACCTCACAGAGTCGGGTGCTGCATTTCACTTTTGAGGCCAAGAAATGCAATGGTTCTAACCAGTCACTGATGACAATGAAGCGAAGTGTCCTTTGGTGGGGTGCTCTTAGGCAAATGAAACTGCAAAGGTTTCCTTGATTAATTTAATCCCTCTCCAAAAAAAAAACCAAACCCCTGAGTATTTTCCCTCTGCAGACACGATGAGAGCACTTGCGTTTGGTCCAGCTCCTGGCAGACAGGTTACAAGTTCCCCCTCTGCTTCTGAACTGCACTATGCTCAGCGACATTTTTAATGCAAGGAGACAACCTTGAGCTGAGTGTTACCCATGGGGGTTTAAATACCTTCTAGTAATCCAGGTTTGGATCTTAAACTTAAAGGTAATGGATCTGGATAGTTTAAGTGGATCTGGATAGTTTAAAGGCACTTAAAAGCAAGATGAAGTTTAGTTAGCAATCCACAAGCTACTAATGAAAGCAATCATTCTCCAGCACTCAGACCCAACCTGCAAAGTCTTCTTCAGCATCATAAAATGTCATCGCTCTCCCTTCAGTAGCAGAACTGGACAAAGTTATCATCATTAGAAGACCAAAGAGATTGACAGGCAGGTCCCCCTGCAGAAACGGGTGCAATGCCTCAGAGAGCACTCCGTGGTGCTGAACACTCCATTAAGAGAGCCAGGCTTATCCTGGGAGCCGATGGGAACACAGTCCAGATAACGAACGCTATCGCTGACGGGTAACCAACCCTGTTCTGGCAGGCACTGTCCACTCAGGACGGCTAACTGCCTCCAGCGGGGCAGGCTCCACTCTGCAAGGAGTTGGTATGACAGTGACAATCCCAGACATACCAGTTTAGCACCCTTCTTGCGTCCGAGGGGCAAGGCGTAGTGGGCTTCGTACCACTGCCGGTACGGGGTGCTGTCGATGAGGACGATGCAGTTCTTCACCAGGGTCTTTGTCCGCACCAGCTCATTGTTGGAAGCATTGTAGACGACATCGATGATTCGGGTTTTGCGAGTGCAGCCTTTCAAAAGAAGAGTATGAATTCAAACCTACAGGAATCAGACAACTGAGAATACAATCCACAGCATTTCACAGAGCCCTAAACCACCACACACTCGTTACCCCACCAAATGTCCTCCAGCTTCCCTGGCACTGAATTACATTTAACTAACGCATCTATTTTACATCAGCCCAACTTTCTGTTGATAGGACAGAAACCTACACCTGAAAACTGATTCATCCCAGATGAAAAACTGGGATCTGTGGCCTTGCTGGAACTCATCTCATATAAGACTAAGCAATGCTAAAAAGTTCCTTGATTGGAAGATGCCTCAGCACATGCCAACTAACATTGCACACATGGCTCAATCCCGTATGTACTCCCTAGAATTACTGAATTAAGCAGTGCTGAACGGGACCACTCTGCAACACACACCAGAAACCATTTTTACAGGATGTGGGCTTATGAGTAAATTGAGAGGAGAAGCTGGTATTTTCACACTTCAAGACCCACCTGAAGCATTCAATCTTAGCTACAAAATTTGACTTTAGCAGATGCCCGCCCCGGAGACACAGCCCTCCATGTATGCAAAGGCCAGGCACAAGATGGATTTTCTCCTCTTTGCTCACATCCCTCATCTCTGTTCAGCAAGGTATGCTCAATCCCCTCACTTCTGCTACTGCCTGAGACTCATGCCACTTTTCACAGTATGGACAACGCTGTGATGGCTGAGGAGAAAGCATGTCCTTTCACCCTCACACCACACTGGTCACTGAACCACCACCTTCCTGTTGGTTTTACCGTCACACTGAGGAATACTGACCAGGCCCAGGCTCCAGATATATGGTCTTCAGTTTGTAATTTAAAGAAAATCCACCTTGCTCAGGGGAAAAGAAAACAGCCTCCCCCCTCTTGCTTCTCTGCATCCTACTCTTGCTTAGCACAGCAGGATTAAGAAGAAACTGCACGTGCCAGTGTAACACTGTCCTAGGGGCATGCAGGCTCAGAAAAATCCTCACCGCCTTTCTCTGTTGTATAGGATCACCTGACTTTTAGTAAGTGCTCATCAATAAACAAAAAAAGTTGCATTTATGAAGAACTACTTACATTTTGGGTTTTTTATCTCTGTAGTTCCCTCCACATCAGTAAAAAGGTAATACCAGCATGTCACTCAGTGTAACTATGACACTCCAATCACTGTGAACTTAGCAAACATCCAAGTCTCCTAAGGCCACATAAGGTCAAAGTAATCATCACTATGCATGCTGCTTTACACCCAGTGCCACAAGCTCCACGATGTTCCAACCCAGCCTACAAATCCATGCTTGTATCATCATCCCTCTACTCTGTAGTAGTACTGGGGATCAGCACAGCTGTAAAAGACTTTTCCCTGCCAACACATCAGGCATACGATGTACTTACATTCCGATCCCCAGGAGAAGTTGCCAACATCCAACCGAAGGGCACGGTATTTCTTATTTCCGCCACGAACCCTCACTGTATGAATTCGGCGTGGGCCAATCTACAGTCAGAAACAAACATCAGCCTGCTGTTGGTGCTGGAACGCTGCACAGCTCACGCAAGAGCCAACTCCTAAGCTCCAAGGCAATGTGGTCAGTGTAACTATGACAAACCCCAGCATCGGCAGATACGGTAAAGTGACCAGAACGGTCTGCTGCATCTACCTAAGGTGAAAATTTCATCACTCCAATTGCCTCTTATTTCAAAAACGTATCACTGCTTTCTGCAGGCAGAGAGGAAAACACCACCTTTTAAAGAAGTGGCGACAGAGATTTAGCTGCTCACAAAACACAGCGCATAATTAAACCTCAAAGCACGCAACCAGCATCCCCAGTTCAACAACACAACTACCAACCACCTTCCCCAAATCACCCACCTTAGTATTGGCAGGAGGCCGCCCCAGCTCATACTTTCTCTTCTTGTGGTAGGGCTTCCTCTTGCCCCCAGTCTTGCGACGCTTATGCCAGTTGTCCCTGGAGATACCTGGAGGAAGAGCAGCGTGGTCAGAGGGTGGCACGGAGCCCACCTGGCCACAGCAAGGCACAGTTCCGAGTCCTCAGCTCTCCAAGGTTGGTATCCGCACAGTGCACTCAGTCTTGTGCAGCAGTGAGAGAAGCTTCATCATCGACACTCGGATCCATCTCGGCCTCCTCCCTCCCAGCAGCGCTGTATGAAGGCGAGACCCCCTCCGCTGTCCCTGACGGGTGTCCCCTGTGGGAAGCAGCCTCCCAACCTACCTCACATGTGGGGCACCCTATGGGGAGTGCCCCATCCCAAGCTGCCAGGCACCCTACAGAAAACACCCTGTATTATCCTCTGGGTCTGGCAGCGTGCTCGGTCCCAGAGACACACCCCAACGCACACCGCCTTCTCCTACCCAGCCCACCGCGTACCCCGCAATCTCCCCATCGCACCCCATCTCACGTTTCCCCTACAAGCCCCCTCCCGCCAGCCAGCGAGGTACAGGGCCAGCCCCCATCCTTTTTGCTAGGTCCCCTACAAAACCCTCCGCAGCGCCCCAAGCACGACGGCCCCACCGCCACCGAGAGCTAGCCCAGCGATCGGGGCCTGCAGCGAGGCGACGCGAGGCCATCCGCAGCGCCCCCCAGCCCCCGCCCGCCGCCATGTTGGGCCTAGGCACCCTCCCCCCCGCCAGCGGCTCGGCACCGTCGCGCCCACCCCCAACCGCGGGCGGCGCAGGCTGGCGGCACCCCCCGCCATCACCCGGCGAGGAACGGGGGCAGGCGGCGGCAGCGTGACGGGCGGATGCCGGTGGATGGCGGCCGGGCCCGGCGACGCTCCCCACTCACCCATGGCGCAGCCCTGGCGCAAAGAGGTGGGGCGGGGCCTCGCGGCGAGGTTTGGCGGGGCGAGCTCTCGCGAGGCAGTGGCGTCACGGAGGCGCCGGGCGCGCGCCGCTGCCTAGCGACACTGCGGCGGGTACCAACCCCGCCCCCGCAGAGAGGCTTCGTTAGCATACGCCTCATTAGCATACCCAGGGTGCACCGCGGTGCGGCGGCGCGGCCCCCCGGTAGCAGTTTCCGCCGCTCCCGCGGGGTTAGAGCGGGGTCCGAGCGCGGGACCGTGGCCGTAAAAGCCACAGGAGGAGCGAACCGGGGCGGCGGGGAGAACAGTGGAGGTCGCCGTGTCCTGTGGGGCGACAGGCGGGGGTGGGTACGTGCGCGGGGTGAGCACACTGTATACTCTGGTTTCTCTTCAGATCGTATAAATCTTTCGCCTTTTACTAAAGATTTCCGTGGAGAGGAACAGGCACGAGTGTCGAGGAATTTTTTGAGGCTCCATTTCGGTGGAGCTGCCCCTTTTCTGGTCAAAAATAGAAAAAGCCCGGGGGATTGGGGAAAAGGTGCGTCCGTGGTCGGTTCCGCTCCGATCCCGGCCAGGCCCCCCCCCCCCGTGCTGGCCGAGCGGGGGGAGCCAGGACTCGCTCCCGGACCGGCCCCGCCCGGTACGGTCGCGGCGCCGCTCGGGCCCCTCCGCGCCGCTGCCGCCTCATTAGCATGTCGCTCATTAGCATTCGTCCGTTTTGCATACCCAGGGTGCCCCGCGGCTCGGCGCCGGCCCCGCCGATCCCCGCCGCAGCTGCCCCCCCCGGTCCGAGCCGCGCGGGTCTGCGCGGCGGCGGCTGCAGCGGCGGCGGCGGGGCCGGAGCGGAGCGGAGCGGGCACCGCGGGGCTGAAGTCGCCGTGAGCTGTGGGGTGACAGCCACGAGTGGGTACGTGTGCGAGGGGCTTTCTTACTCATACTCCGGTTTCTCTTCAGATCGCATAAATCTTTCGCCTTTTACTAAAGATTTCCGTGGAGAGGAACAAGTACGAGTGTCGAGAAATTTTTTGAGGCTCCACTTATGTGGAGCTGTCCCTATTTTGGTACAAAATCAGACCGAAGACTGACCATCCCCCCGCCCTGTTCGCCCCGGTAGTGGCGGCGGCGGCAAGACCCCCCCCGCCCTGTTCGCCCCGGTAGTGGCGGCGGCGGCAAGACCCCCCCCGCCATTCTTACTCCTGCCTCAGGCCGGCTGCGCATGCGCGCCGAGCCGAACTCTACCCCTCCGGCATCCCTTGCTCCGCCTCCGCGCAGCCGCCGGTCCCGGTTCGCGCTCCGGGGTGGGGGCGTGGCAGCGTGGTACGCCGGGAGTTGTAGGCGGCCGCGCGCGCAGAGCATTACGGGAGGTGTAGTCCCGCCGCTGTTTCCCGGTAGGCCCCGCGGCACGCCGGCGCGCGGGGTTTAAATCGGCGGCGGTTGCCCGGGCCTGGCTCTTGCTGCCGGGACGCGAACGCGGCGCCGCCGCTGAGGGTCTGCCCGCTTCTCCTCGTGCCCGCGCCATGGACACCCCCCTTTACCGCCACGTCTGTCCTGGCCGCGTCATTAACATCCAGCGGAGCAACGGTGAGGGGCGGGGAGGGGAGCGGGGCGCTGGTGGGGGGTCCCGGCCGCCCTCCGCCCCCCACCCGCTCCCCCTCTCAGCAGTGGGGGGGGGTCCCGGTCCCGCGGGGCGGCGGTCGGACCGGGGCTTAAGGCCGGCATCTTCCAGGCTTGATCCACAAAGCGACGGTGAAAACGGTGAGCGTGGAGCGGTCAGCCGTGTGCGTGGAGTGGTCGGAGGGCGGAGCCCTCAAGGGCAAGGAGGTGAGTGACCGAGTCCCGGCGCTCGCCGGGGTCGCGGCCCCCCCGGAGCCCCGCGGCCCCCGCTGGTGCAGCTGAACCGCTGCCGTGCTTACTTTAACGTTTGGCATAATTAAATCAACGAAAGAGGTGCGCGAGGGTAAGCTGTGAAAATTTACGGTACCGAAACGGGGCTCTTCACCTTTCAGAGCGAGCGCAGGGTCGCTGGGCCTCCTGCGCTGCTGCTCCTGGGTTTGAATGCCCCAAAGTTCCACCTTTCCCAGCTCTGGGGGCTGTCTGTTGGCTTTTTATGTCTTTAACAATGGCCCTTAGGCTTTCCTTAAGACTTAAGAGGGCTGAGTCTGATTTCCTGAATCCCTACACTGGTGTGACATACTGTGTGAGATGGGACTGGGGGGGAACCCGGGGCATTTGAGGTCCTGATGTTTAACAAAAATCTCCTTTGGTATCTGAGCAAACATGTTTGTCCTGCTGGTTTCTCTGAAAGCACATATACTCTAGAGTTTAGTTAAAATCTTAAAGTTGGCATTGACTGGCTCTTTGAAACTGGATCTTATACTCTTTATGTGCATGCAGCATTCAAATATGCAAAAGGCACAGATTCAGATAAAATTGCTGGCTAAATTTTATGTATGCGTTAATAAATCTTTATGAAGATGCTTCAAAATCCAGCAATTTTCTTAAACGTTTCTATATACACTTATACTGTCCACATATATTTATTTTTGAGCTAATTCACTTTCTAATTAGAAACTTAGAGATTCCATGTAAATTAAATTCTCTTATATTAGAATGTGGTATCTCAACATTTTACAGAGGCTCACCTACTTGCTTTTGCTCTTTTTATGGGCTCTTATTTAAGTAATTTCAAAGTTAATTGAGTCAAGAACTTCCTGGAATGGTGCTCGTGTTGCTTTGTTAGGTGAATTCCAGTGCAAGCTGCTGTGATACCAGGGTTTTTGTGTTCATGTGCTTTTAACGTCTTCTGCAGGGTTAGATTTGAAAAACTGAACCAAGAGACTTGCTGTCTTTTGTGCCCAAGCCCTTGGCAGCCTGCTCCCGGGGCTCCCCGTGCCCTGTGGCTGCCTGTGCCACGGCACTGCGGGATGCCGTGGAGGCAGGGTTATGAATTCACTGGAGGGTCAGGCAGGAGGTGGTGCCTGGCCCTTGCAATAGCAAGTGAAAATGCAGGTGAATTGATTTATGGATTAAATGGTGAATCTTCCTTGCCCAAAGTCTAAGCAGTTCTTTAAAGTTTATTTCAGTAAGTGCAGTCACACAGTAAACACTTAATACTCTCCTAGCGTGGAAGTCACAGAGCAGCTGAGACTTACTAAGATTAGCAGTAAGAGATTAAAGCACTTGATGCCAAATGTGCTTTGTCCATCTCTTCAGCTGTGTTCTACGGCACCTGCAGACCTGCGTGGTGTTTGGCAGACGAGAGTAAATGGCTTAACTAGCACATTTCTAGCATATTTGGACATATGAGACTACTCAAATGGAATATGAACTACTGTCTTGCCCTTCCAGGCAATTTTAACTTAACATTTGGCAGGCAGTGAGTCAAGTTTGTTTGCCTGAACTGAAAAGTCAAGGTTAAAAAAAAAAAAAAAAAAGAAAAAAAGCCGTAAGTGGTATCAGCAATATTCCACTCTGTAAAATCCTGCCTTTGCTCCTGTAGATTGACATTGATGATGTGATAGCAATAAATCCTGAGTTATCAGAAGTACCCGCCACAGATGTGAAAGAGAACCTTCCTTTGCAAGAGAATGTAACTGTACAGGTGAGTGATTGATCTCTCCTTAGGTACTAAAGTGTCAACAGCATAGGTCTTGGTAAAAATAATACCCTTATTTAAAGTTTTTAAAGTCTGAGGTCTCTAACTTGTCTTTTCTGTGTCATAGTTAGACTTTGGTCAGAAATTCTTCTTCTATCAATATTGTCTTGAAGTGCTGAGCTAGGTGTTTGCAGCTTACTCACAGCATTCATTGTTTTTCAGAAACAGACGCGTAGAACAACCCTTTCAAAAATTCCTGCTCCACGGGAAG